ATTATATATATATATATATATATATATATATATAATTTGGGGGGGCAATAGGGATTTCGCTTAGGGCGTCAAACTGGCTAGAAACGGCCCTGCTCATACCCTTACATTGGTCTGGAAGAGGGTTTTTATAGAGCTTTATATTTTCACTGCTGTCATGTAGAAATGCAGATGTCTGTGTGACTCCGTGTGTGTTTGTGTCCCCTAGGCAAAAGTAGACAATGAGATCCTTGATTACAGGGATTTAGCAGCCATTCCCAGGGTCAAAGCCATTTATGACATTGAGCGTCCAGATCTAATCAACTATGAGCCACTTTACACCACCTCACTGGATGAGTCAGAGGAGAGAGAGAGTGTGGGAGAGGTACAAATAAGTCAAACCGAAGCTCTGTTCCAAGCCCTAGTGACCTCTCTATCTAGACGGCTTTATAGGTCACACGCTTCTGATGTGAAGACTGGTTCAGTAGGTAGCAAAATTATGCCACATTCTAGGCAAATTCTACAGCAGCATTGCATATGCACTTAAACTGAATTCATCAGATGAAATTATTATATGATATTATAGGATGCTGCTTTAGAAGGCACTTAAACAGGAATGCCGCAAACTAGGGTTTGAAACAGAGCTCTTGAGTTCAGTATGGTATTGAACACAGACTAATAAAAATTTTTCTGCTTATATAAAAGTGATATTTATTCTCTTACAGTAGTACTTTATTTCACGTTCACCTGGCTACACCTTTCTGTTGACAGCTGCAGAGCTCCAGGAGAGAGTGTTCGCCTATGCCAGAAGACAGAGTAAGTTAGTCACATGACCTTTCACCTGTCTGCTGATAGGCTGTTCCACTCAGTCTTTCTCATATTATTGGTGCTGTCCTAAATCCCACACTCGATGTGGAGTAGCAGTCTTGAAGTAGTCCAGGAGATTGTATTGTGTCCTATTTCTGATTTTATGATTCAGATGGATGCTCGAGTGCTCTTTTGTAGCCGCTAAGGCCACACAAATTATCTGCAGGGCATCCAGATATTTTTCTTTACTTTTTAAACTTAAGTCCTATAATTTTCACTGATGACTCTCATTAGATTATTTTTAAAGTAAAACAATAATGCTTTTGTGTTTCATTATTGTAATGCAGTGGTTTTTAATAAATAAATAAATAATCATAAACACATATAATGCTACCATGATAAATACTTGATAAAAAAAAGCTCTCTTTTTTGAGGCAGTGTACTTATTTTTTGGCAACACACTTAATGTTTTATAATAAAATGAATACAGTTGCATGCAACGGTGCATTAAATTTGTAAAAATGACAGTAGAAATATTTATAATGTTGCAAAAGATTTCTGTTTCAAATAAATGCTGTTCTTTTGAACTTTCTATTCATCAAAGAATTCTGAAAAAAAGTATCAGCATTTCCACAAAACTATTATGCAGCGCTGCTTTCAATATGATAATAATGTATTTAATTTCCATGAATATATAGACCAAAATGCAAAAATAAATAAATAAAAAAAGCAAAATAGGATTTCTCATTTCTCAAAGTATAATTTCTCAAATTAGATTTTGGGTTCACCGTCATAAATAAATAAAAAAAATATATAAAATAATAATAATAAAAAAACAAAGTTTTCTTTGTATATGTATTTATTTTTTTTCCCCTCTTGTTTCAGACCAGGTCACCCACACCAACTGCTGAGGTGAGTCAGATTTAGAGTTTTATTTATTTATTATTATGTGCTTTACATAATGCTTTATTGGAAAAATGCAGTTTAATTTTCATTCCAAATATTCAAGAATTTATTCAAAGATGTTGTATTGTAAGTGGATCACATTTAGATTTTCAGATGAAACAGTGTTTTTTTTTAACGGTGCATGTTTCCTGTATTCACCAGGGTTACTACGAGATGAGAGAACGAATACTCCATCGGTCGACAAGTCAGGGCTCCATTGGCTCGCCCATTTACAACCGCCACAACTACACTCCCACCCTGTCACGCTCACCACAGCACTTCCACAGACCCGGTGAGCTATGTGTCCATCAGTCTGCTGTGCTCGAAATACTAATATTAAAATTTCATCAAATCAATTTATCTTTTCCTTCCATGGATTATTTACAGTTATCTAATATGGCTTTGTGCTCCCACAGTGCCAAATTGAGTTTTAAAATAGAGAAAGCCGGTCCAAATCTTCTCTAAAAACTCTAAAAAGGGCTGGGTGTTATAGCAAGTATTCTCAGTTGAATTTTCATTTTCGTGATAATTAATTGTGAACTTAATGTTCACTCATATGTCATTTTTCATGTATTAAGTGGTTTAATGTAGATAAATGTAACAGTGCCTAGTAATAAATAACCAGATCAGTGCATATACATGATCAAGTAACCTTTCTTATATATATATTTTTTTTTTAAATTACATAAAAAATAAATAGTTTGTGTGTAATATATATATATATATATATATATATA